GTGGCTTCTCGTATTATATTTTTATTAACGGCCGTTCATTCAACCCGCCAGCGCCACGTGTCATATTTTATTTACCTGGCGCGCGGTACGCTCTTCCTCCTGCTGGAAACGCGGAAACGCCGTGCGAGAAGGTAGAACTAATGGGCGTGGAATCGATCTGCCGTGCGGATCGAGGCGTTTGATGATTCCGCCGTTTTCACCCGGACAGGCACGGGAAATTCGCGCGTCGGGCAGCAGATGCCTTTTGTTAGCGTGGACGTTAATTGAAGGTATGTTTCTTCAACGAGCGCGGCTTGGTCGATGCACCGCGCCGCGCCGCGCCGTCTCGTGCGACGCCCACAGCCCTGACATTGGGAAAGTTGTGAATGGAGACGTCGACCCGCGTGTGTGTGTGTGTGCGGTTATCACTCTGTGATTTCAGATTTTCAATATAACACTCGCAATCTCGACATCTCGCCGGCGAGATTGGGCAACGCGATTGGGAAAGGGAAGCACACAAGGGAAAAAATGAGGAACTTCTTGCGCAAATTGCGAAACACCAAGCACGCGCTTTCTTCCGAATAAGCGATCTTTCTTCAGCGATCATTTTCTCGTCACGGCTACACCGCGATGCTCCCTCGAGGAAGAAATCGTCCTCTTCTCCAGGAGTTAGCTGCGGTATCTTTTATCCCGTAGTGGCGATCCCCGTCGGAATAGCCTGCTCCTTCCTTCCTTCTATCGATTCGAGACGTGGTTGTCGCCATAAATCATAACAGTTAATAGCATTTTGCGGCTGCTTATAACGGCGTTATTTATATTTTACGGGCGCGTTTTATCCTAACAAAGGCTTTATATAAAGTCCGAGGCGGCTGTACACTGCTCGTGCGACGGAATATGTTGAACGCGTGTCTCTTCTACTCGTTGGTCGCGCGCCCGCGCACCCGCGCACCAACTCCGGACACGTGCGCGCGACGTCGTCCGTGTGCGCGATGTAAAATAAAGTCGCGGTGGAACTATTCTTGCATCGTCACCGTGTGCCAGACGCCAATACGTTCTGCATATTACATTATGTTAATGAAGGCGGGCAAGAAAGGGAGAAGAGGGCAGTTAGGGAAGAGGAGGGGGGTTCAATAGGGAACAGCAGCGGAGGTTTCCGATGGACCCCGGGAGCTGTTAAAGCATGGGCTGCGCGACGGCCGAGCGCTTCCTCAAGATACTTTAGGCGCCTCGATAAAACCCTATCGCAAAAGTTATCACGCCTGTTCACGCGCGCGTGGTTAAGCCGTTACGTCAGCGATGATTTCAACTACGTGGAACTGTTGCGTTGTATACGAATGACCGTCTTCAATATCGCGCCGTCGTGGATGTTAGGACCGGAGGATCTCCCGTGACGACCGTCGAATTCTCTCTGGGACGGAGTCGAGATTGAAATAAGTGAGAAAGTAGGAAAGAAAGAAGTTCTCCCAAGATTCCGCAAAGGTCAAAGTACCGTAAAGGTTCCGCATAGGGAAGTTCCGCGAGGTCAATGCACCGATGCCTGGACACTGATAACTCTGACACCTAATTCTGCACTGAGGGAAAAATGTATGCTACTTGGAACTATAATGGCATAGTAAAAAAATTATAGTTAGGAATATTATATTTATAGTAAATTTCAGAATAATATTTATAATATTTACAATATAAGCATAGCATAACTGACCCATGTAAAATTTTTACCAAGAATTATAATCATTTGAAATAAAAAATATAGTAAAGTTGCAAATATTGAATGGTAAGAGAAATTAACTATTTTATATAGTCAATACAATTGGAATATTTGGAAAATGTAGATACATGTAACTATATTCCCAAAGCGTGTTTTACTATATACATAGAGTAATAAGATGATGATTATAAATCTGTTTTAATTCTGCTATATCTTTATGTTTAGATGAACTATAAATATATGTTTGAGGCCAAAACGAACTATAAAATATAATGAGATTATAGTTATTCCAACTATTTTTTTCTCTCAGTGTGGACATTCTCCTTGTTTTGTTAAATATGATACGAAACATTTTTGTTATTTAAACTTTTAACATAGAATATATGTAAAAAAAGAAGCACACCTAGAACTATAAAAAATTCGATGGGAACTAATGACATATTGACCTAAATTCTTTTATTTAAATAGAATAAACAATTGTTTTCGTAAAAAGTTAGTAGGTTTTGAAAAAATACATACAAAGAAAAATATGTTTGATATATTTGTGATTATAATCATATGGAGAAATAGTTACTATAAATTATGGTCAAGAAAAGCATTTTTTAAATTAAATTCTACTATAATGTTAGTGATAATAACTTTATATCATGCGTATTACTACTACCATTTTCATATAATTAGCACTACTTGTAAACATGATTGGGATAGGAAACAAGGATAATTTTAGTCAATTCAACTATATTTTCTTATTTGAAAAATATTTTACATTATCATAAGTAAACATGTTATTAGTACTCACCTTTTCATATTTCTTAAATATTTTTTCCTCTCTTTTTTAGTATACATGTATCGAATATATACATATAATTTACGCTGAAAGTTTAAATATTCGTATTTTACACACACAAGAGCAAAACAATAAAGATGTCCAGAGTTAGGCACTAACTTTATTAATGTCCAGGCATTGGTACTTTTACGATGTTTTCGATATGACGATGATGATAAATAGCATAAATTTCGGCGGAAACGTCACATTAAACTAATGTATCGTTCGCATCGTCCACTTTTCTACCGTAATATCCCCGAGCGCTTCTCGAAACGTTCAGATAAATGATCGAACGTTATGATAAACGATCGAATGACATACGCGTTTGTCAAACTGCAAACGTCCGTAATCGTGGGAGAAATGTTCCGTGTTTATCGTATAATTCAACAGATATTAGGTAATAGCCGTGCGACCCACGTTCATCTGACACATGGCGACCAACGCGCGCGCACACACACACACTCACACGCACGCACGCACACACACACACATGTACACAGGAGCAGCCTGCTGAGGGATTTCTTTATTGGGTTCGCAGCCCCGCGGACAGGAAGCTCGAAATCCCACGAAAGCGTTTTATCCCCGTCAGTCCGCCTCTTATGTTTTCTTATTAGGGTTTAAAAAGGAAGTCACTCTGAATAATGCGCATCTTTCTATATCTCTCTACCTTTTTCGTAGGAAAGCTTCCTTTGAATTTAAATTAATTATTTTGTCACTTGTATTTTATGGATTTATAAAGCCGCGAGAGACGAGCACGAAAATACGAAGATGAGTTTGGGAAATTGGCTGGCGATTAAATCCTTAAAAAGGATGTCATCCGAGAGACTCTGTAATGTCATTATCTGCACGCCTGAAGTTCCTCTCTTCGGGCGAGAACGCGGTACCATTTGATCGAGTTAGCGACGTCCAATTTGCAGGATACCTCCTTTTCTCGGGATCACAAAGCATCGCAAGATATCGCCTTGCACCGGAAGCATCGTATTTCTCGTTACGTATCTCCACATAAGACGTCGCTGCAACGGCGAGTTTGCTTCCAACTAGGAAATCAAACGCGCGGCAAGAATAGCGTCGGGGAAAGTAGCGAGAAGTGATGCATATTCGGCACACTGAGAAAAGAATGTTTGGTATATTTGTAACTATAATCATACAGAGAAATAATTACGATAAATTACGATTAAGAAAAGCATTTTTTAAGTTAAATTCTGCTATAATATTAGTGATAATAATCTTATATATAGAGTGTTCGATAACTCACGGAGGAGTCGCGTTCCTTTTATATGCATATTACTACTACCATTTTCACATATTAGAACTACCAGTAAATATAATTGGTACAAAAAACAACGATAATTTGAAGAAAAGAGTGTTTGGTATTTGTCACTATAATAATCGCGTAAAAAAATGATTACGATAAATTATGATCAAGAAAATCTTTTTTTTCTAATAAATTCTACTATGATGATAGAGTAATTAATAATCATGCATGCATATTACCATTTTTGTATTAAAACAAGCAAAAAGTATATCTGGGATCAAAAATAACTATAATTTAGTTTAGTTAGACCAATGATTTTTTCCTCTCGATATAGATTATACACGCCAACGCATATAATCCCGGCACGGTGGCGAAATATGCGACGATATCGCTAAGGTTTGCGCGAGATTTTCCTCACGAGCGACGCGCGAGGCGTTTTTCCCCCAGAGATGACAGCCAAGCGGAATCTCTATGGATCTCTTTATGGATCGAATATGTGCAGTAAATTTCTTTATGTCGTTTTAATCGTCGCCACGGCGATGGGCGGTCATAAAGCAACACGGGCGTTTTATGAGGAGGGATTCATGAAACGAGAAAATTCTTCGCCGTCGGACGTTGAATGGCGACGATCGCGCGGAGGGTTCGGAAAGAGGTTTCCACCACGTGGTAACGCGAAGATAGAAGTGAATTATTTCTCTTCCAGCCCCGGCTCTCGCTTCCACCGTGGAAAGCGCGCGCGAATCTGTCTCCGTAAAGATGTCCCGCTGGTGCCGTAACTCGACACAGTGAAATTCTCCGGGATTCTATTTTATCGGGTGGATAGTTCGCTACGTTCGTTAATTGCAAGCGCCGCGTTTGATCGATCGATCGTTTGAAGCGTTTAAAGCTCCGTTCAACTCGCGATTTATGCCTCGTTTGCATTACGGACAGCGGAATCTCATCATGGACCGCGACTACCATCGATAGCGAATAATACTTATTATTATGTAATACATCATATAATAAAAAGACCAAGGAAAAGCGCACCGTGGAATGATTTAGCGAAATAGGAGATATAACGCTAGACACGCATGCACGCTTCCCCTGCACGATTTATGGATACTTGCGTCTGCGAGACTCGTAGCGATTCCTCATAGTTATGACCCTCCTGTTATGATCTTCTCGCGCAATCTTCGGCGAGAACGCTAACACCGTGATCGAAAGCCTCAAAGGAGAATCTTTCGTGTTCGCAGACGGCGCTCAGCAATCTCGAGGAGATGCAACACAACTCGATGGTCTACCGTAGCGACAATAGGAGCCGCAGCATGGGGGTGGGCCCGATGAGATCCCGGCCCATGGAAAAGAGACACGACACCTCGCCGTACAGCGGCGTACCTTACCTGTCGCCACCGCCGCCAGACACCTGGCGGAGAACGAACTCGGACTCGGCTTTGCATCAGAGCGCAAACGAGGCTTGCCAGTCGACCTCCGCCATACCTCACCGACGAGGTAGCGACGCATGTCGGTTTTCCTTTTTCTTTTTCCTATAACGCGTAGTGTATCGGAGTATTAGTATATTTTCCCTCAGCTTACATCGCCAAGAACATGTTTTTCATATCTTATAACCTTCCTCTTATTCTTTGCGTTTCGATCTTCTTACAGTACCTGTCCCATCGATCCTTGTGTGTCATCCCTCTTCATTTCCTGTATCTTCTTCTTCCTCCATCCCTTGCGCACACTTCGGTCTTCTATTGCCACCTATTATACATTTCTTCTATCGATAATTTCCTCTGCATTATTGTACTAATCGAAGCTTGTCTGCATTACATACATTATCCTAACCATCCGTTCCTTATGCTCTCTATTACCTATGCACTTTTTCCACCTTGAACCCCGCTTTCCTACACTGAGAAAAAAATTTTTTAAATTTCAAAAAACGTTTGTTTGGATAGTACTGTGAAGATATTTGTTTAAATTAAGTAATTATTGTCTAAAATTAAATAAAGAAGTTTTAAATATAAATTTATTTCTTTAATTTTAGAAAATAATTACTTAATTTAAACAAATACTTCACAGTATTATCCAAACAAACGTTTTTTGAAATTTAATAAATTTTTTCCTCAGTGTATCTAACATCTTGTTTCGTCTTTCATTACATATACCATCTACGCACTCATTTCTACATAATTTTTTCTATCTGACTCCCTGTGCTTAACACAATACACTAAATTCCAACGTTTAATTCACGCACAACCTTAACCGAGCATCTACACACTTGCACACTATCTAACCAGTTTTATGATATGTAATAAACCTCTTCGTAAAACGCGCGTTAGACCGCGATTTGATGTCTAAGCGACGAGACGACATGCGGGTTTCTCTTAAGGAGTTTATTTACCAGATGCATTTTCACGATGTATTTTTAGTAGCGCATCAAAGAAGCTACTTGTAAATTCATTATTTATCAAATAAAATTACGTTTTTACATATTCGTTTTGCTATCTAAATAATAAATATTAATTGTTAATAGTTGAAAGGGATTTCTTGATATTACATTGCCACGTTTTACTCGATACGATGCTATTTGAATCATAAAACAACAGTTTTTTAGCCTATGATCGACCATTATATAAAAACGGTGTAGAGAATACTATTTTTTTCTTCTATGTCGCGTTTTCAAATGTGTGACATTTATGATGGTAAAATTTTTATTTGGATGGTTATTGAATTTTTATTTGGATATCACTTTTTACGAAATATACGGGAATAATGGTCATCTGTATTGTTTCTACTATATATGCAAAATTGCGGGGAATATTCAGTAATATTAAATTTCTTACGAACGGCGCAGACAAATTACATGAAACTTCATACGAATGTATTTCAGCTACGAATGTGTTTTACTGCGACAAATGTTGCGTTGAATTTTTTTAAAATTCTAAGCGTTTCGATTATTCGATAAGTGAATAAACTTCTTAACGACGAGTGTTGCACGTCGAGAAACCCAATATCGCGTGTCGCCGATCTTTACTGTTTGTGTATTGTCAAGATAATATACTAGACAGAGAGAGAGAGAGAGAGAGAGAGGGAGAGAGAGAGAGAGAGAGAGAGAGAGAGAGAGAGAGACTTTTATGCAATATAACGTTTTGTCAAAGTATTCGCTAGTAACGAGACGTTACAGACGCTTGTCTCCGGAAGTTAATCCCTTCGTTCGGAACCCACGCGAAAACTCCCGTAGAGACATTTTCCCGAACATTTGCTTCGCAAGTAAAAACTGTAAGGTTTGCTTACTATCTTGGTAATTCGCATTGCGCAATTTATTACGAAAGGTAAACACTTTTTACTTGACCTCTGTAGTTCCCCTTAGTCGCTGTTCATCGTGAGATGGCAGAAGAGGCGGCGTGATTAATCAGAGACACTCTGCGTGAAATTCCCCGTTTCACGTGCACGTAAATAGCTTCCTCAATCGTTGATAACTTACATCATCGCAAACAGTAAAGCGATGTGCGCAGTGTACAATCTTATTTCGCGTGTGAAGAAAAAAATTTTACTTTCTTTCTCTCCTCTCTCTCTCTCTCTCTCTCTCTCTCTCTCTCTCTCTCTCTCGATTCGAAGACTCGACGCACTCAAAGTTTACGCAGGATGAACGGTATGGTCTTTCTTGGTCGCAATATTAATGAATTCATTCTGCGAACGCTCGCGTCTTCGCGACGCTGCTCCTTCGAGTTTTGCGAATGTCTCGGCCTGGAAATTCCGTCATTACCATATTGCCTCGTTACCTCGTTATATCGCGACTCTCCTTTCTTAAGTGGCTACCTACGGGATTTTACAAAGAGACCGAGCTCTCTCAAACCTCGCAGACTCGTCTTTGAGCGCGCTGCGTAATTCGCGAATTAAAAGCTCTCGCGACTGTGTGATACGTGAGATTGAAATTTTGCCGTGATGATTTCGCTCAAAGCGCCCGATCGCGCGCCTCTGTGCTCGTGAAATTAATCAGGCGCCCGTCAGTCCACGTAACGAACGAGACTCGTAAAATCGTATTAACGTCGTGTGTGATTTATATAATTTATATAATGCTCTCTTTATTTATTTGTACCCTGCTTGGCGCCCTGCTTAAGCACGAGCATCTCAAGCATTTATTTATTATCGTTCTCCAAGAGATGCGAAAGAGCCGCGAAATTTCGCACCGATACTGTCGACGCGAAACCAGCGGGGAGCGATAATAACGCCGGCGGTGTATTTTCGGTAAAAACAGCAGTTTATCCTGAAAGTGCACCAGACTCGGATCACAAATGCCCGCGGGATGATCTTCTCCCGCGTTAGGCAACGACGGGACACGTTGAAACGTTATACGGTAGTAACGTTAGTAAGCGGTATTACGTTGCTCGGGCGAAATCGGATAACTAGTTTGAAGAAGCATTCTGCACAACCGTAACGTAGGATACTACAGCTTGAAAACGATCGTTTTATACGCGGTGGCGCGTAAGTGCGCAGCATTAACCCGGTCCCGGTGAGCCGGGCGAAATCGCTCACGCGAACAACACTTTGATGTACCACTGGCTCTTTGCGGCGCTAACGCGCGCGCCACTCGCGAAATTTCATAAATCGCGCATTTTGTGATCAACAGATCAACACGCCATGACTGGGAGCGGGAACGACAACAGGGATTCTCACCACAGTTTCATCGAGCGACCGAGATCCTCGTGCGAAATGCCTAGAGTGCCTGGGATTAAGTACGTATCGTTAAGTGTGATACACGCAAAAAAAATTTCAGTTGGTGCAATCAAATAGGAACTAACTGAAAATTAGGTGGTCAGAAGCGATGTCTCTGTTATGAAAACTATTATTTCAAAAAAATAGTTGGAATAACTATAATCTCACTATATTTTATAGTTCGTTTTGGCCTCAAACATATATTTATAGTTCATCTAAACATGAAGATATAGTAGAATGAACACAGATTTATAGTCACCATCTTATTACTCTATATATATGGTAAAGCATCTTTTGGGAATATAGTTACATGTACCTATATTTGCCAAATATTCCAATTGTATTGACTATATAAAATAGTTAATTTCTCTTACCATTCAATATTTGCCACCTTACCATATTTTTTATTTCAAATAATTATAATTCTTGGTAAAAATTTTACACGGGTCAGTTATACTATACTTATATTGTAAATATTACAAATATTATGGTAACATTTACTATAAAAATTATATTCCTAACTATAATTTTTTTACTATGCCATTATAGTTTCAAATATCATACATTTTTCTCTCAGTGTTTTGTTGTCGCAACCGAAAATATTCGTCTGAACATTCAGCGATATCAGAACTCGGTTGAGGCAACTGAAAACAATTGACTATACAGAAGCCTCATAAAGGAATTGTTCTGTTCCTACAACCGAATTTTCGTCTGGTCCCTGAGCAACCGAAAATTTAGTTGCGCCAAAAGAATTGTTTTCTCCGTGTATAAACGAAATTATAGATTTTGCCGCGCACGTTTGCAAAATTATTTTTTACCTTACCACAGGCTATGAGAGAAAAAACCTTGTTTATTCGCGGTGGGTAACTAACATATTTACTAAGTATATTTATTTATCCCTCTTTCTGTGCTTCATAGGTCACTTTGGAAACAGTTTCAATTGTCTGTTACGGATTGTATTGAAAGAAACAAAAAATGTTACAAATCAGGCTAAACAACGTTCTGACTTAGAAAGTAGAGAAAAATTTTTACTCCAATCTTTTTACTTGTACACAGAGAGAAAAGTGGCACCACCCACGAAGCAAATCGCATTAACGAAATATAGGGATTAAGGCCAGATAGATAGATAGGTGTACGTAAATGTAGTGGCAACTTCACTAAGCGATTTATAAACGTTACATCTCTTATGAGTGGTTCATATGGCATTCATATTTCCCTTTCATAGAATAACGAAATAGAAATACGAAAGATAAGATCTGTTCAAAGGACAATATATCGTGTAAAATGTAACATGAAAATCTGGGTGCAACCTTGAATGAATTTATTGCTACATCAATGTAACCGAGAATTTTGTGTTACTGTATGATATAAATTTAACGATCAGTGCAGTATATCTGCTTAATAAATATAATTACAAAGATTGTCAAGTTTCCGTCATCAATTGTCTCACGTCATAATAATCGTGGAAGTCTGGAAATTCGTTTACTTAAATAGGATAAATAATTGCTTTTGTGAAAAAGCTAAGGTTTCAGCAGAGGATAATTTTTTATCTAAGCAATATTTCATTTCGGTACGCAAGTAAAGATTATTGGCCACCGCGAGTAAATATCTATTTGTTTTTCGAATATTTTTTCTCTCAGTGTTTGTCCTGTTACCTTACCGGCTTTTGGTCTCACCGGACGAAGAGCGCGGGGATGTTTCACCTCGTAACTCGATTCGCACACGGTCCTACCGTTCTCGCGACTACTCCCCTTCCGATCGATTCTCTATCGGTGGATTTTGTGAACGCGCGATAAAAGTCACGGTCGGTCGCGTCGTGTCGCGAGTTAATCCGGCAGTCGCGAAATTCTCTGTTTCAGCATATATCCGAGCTCCCAACCGCCGGGACAACAAATACCGATAGGCAACAACACGGGATCGTTGCCCGACTTGAGCAACGTGCACTTCCCGTCGCCCATTCACACTCCTCTGGATCAGGACGATCACTCGAGTAGTACGCCGTTCAGCAACGTAAGTTGTACGAGCCCGCAATCGTCTGTCTCACCTACATACACGCAAAAATTATACGTATTCTTAAGATTTTTCTCCTCTCCTCTCTCGTTCTTTATTACGCACTTCTCGCGAGGCTGCGCACGTGTTTCCGAGCGACTCTTTATCGCTTTTACGGTGACGTTTCTTTTCTTTTTTTATCTTTCTATACACGTGTACGATAGGCGGGGAGAGCGTCTGTGACAGGAGTAACGTCCGCGCGAAACGTACCGAAGATATTTCGTGCGTTAACAGTGTGCCGTGAGATAAATATGTATATAAAGTGCACTGCATTCGCGCGACAGACACGTCCCTCCCGTGCGATGTTTCCCGTATCGAACACGGGAGAACGTGAAATGCGATTTCGGTTATTGCTCGCGAACGTCCGATCGCTAATAGGTTCTATAAATAAGCGGCGTTACTCATTGCCATTTAACGCGAGTGAGTTCGATCCAGTCTATGCACGACGAGAAACCTCGACGTCTTATCAATCGGACTTTCGACAGCGACCTGCGGCTCCGAAACGTTTTTTAATCGAACGAAAACGTGTTTTTTCGAATTATGCGATCACCTGTTCAGTCGTAGATCTCTTAACGACCCGGGATCTCCCGTACCTCAGCGATTGCATGCGTTTAGCATAATTTTTTTTATCTTCTGCCTTGGCAGAGGATTATCCTTGGCGGATAATCTGAGAAAATCTCGCGGTGCCGTGTTAATATCCGTGTGATTTACGAGCGGAATCTTAACATCTACGTAGCACGGCATCTATCTCTCTCTTTTGGAAAAAGCGGCCTTTCGTCGATATCGATGTTGAGCAATTTGTTTGTATTAAGTGGAGCGAAATCGGTTAACTAGCTTAACGTTCCGTAGCTGATGCCGCCAACGAAAGGATATCCGATTGAAGAACTTAAAAGGCAGATGTCGATAGCGAAACGGTTCTCTTTCGCGTCGCGTTTCCGCGCGGTATCCCTCTCTCTTTTCGACGATCGTTCAATCCCTCTACGTTCCTCTACCTCTTTCTTTTTCCTCTTTTTCTCTTTCTTTGTTCTGCCATCCCGTCGCTCATATCGGATTTATACGGAATCGTCGAGTTATACATCGTACAGAAATTTTAGACAAGTAGGATTTACTGCTGGAAGCGGGAATCTCTCTTTGAAATGGTCGAACCGCTGGTGTATTCCAGAGTCCCCAAACGAGCAGTCCCACAAACCTGTCGCCGACCAGCTTGGCACAAGCTGGTAGGCTGTCCTTTTCACAGGATCCGTCAAGCGTCCAAGTAAATATCCTTGCGCCCCCATATTACTAGAAATTACTATAGAACTCACCTAGAACTCCTCTAGTCAGAGTTAGAACGAATCATGATGATTTCTGATTGGTCCGCATTCTGTCCGCCATTTTTAGGGGTGACATGAGTGGGAGCGAGAGAGAAACTCTAGGAAACTATAGGAATGAGAGAGAGAAGCTTTAAGACCGAAATGACGAAGTGCGCTGCAGGTTCTCTCTCACTCACTCACTCACTCTCTCTCACTCACAATTTCTCCTTACAAATGGCGGACGGTGTCCTAACACTGACTTGAGGAATTCTAACCTCACCTATTGTCATAGAGCGCAGCGGATTTTTAATTATGTGCGACACGAGGTTGCGTCACTTTCCTCGTAGATTTCTCCATCTGTAAAGAGCTTAATGCTCGAGCGTGCCTTTCTGTGTTCTTTTGCCATTTCTTCTCTTTCTCTCTCATTCAGATGTTCCTGATAGATACAGACGGTGGCTCGTAGACCTCGATTAAAAACCGCTGCGGTAGAATGTTACAGAGTGTGCGAAATATCCGAGAATATAAATCGAGTCGATCGATTCGACGTCCTTTTCGGGAACCAGTTTTCGAAAATTTCTTGCCAGATGCGCGTGCGTCTCGCTGAACTTGATCAAATCTATCTCGCGTAATCGCACGATATCGATATCGCTCGGATATTTCGCATCTGTCTGATGTTACGAGTTACGGAATCGAGGGGAAGTCGCGCGTTTTTCGCGAATTCTAAATATGTAAAATTAGAAGAGATAGAGCGCACTTTCGTGACTGCCATTTTGCTACGAAAAGTACATACGATCCACGAAGAATATTTTCATATGACTCTCTCTCTCTCTCTCTCTCTCTCTTTCTTCGGTTCTGTTTGAATAATAAATATCGTATCGTCGAAGCGTACGTCCTTTTCAGAAAATTACGGATACACTCGAATGATTGATTAGCGCGGCACGTGCGCGTCGCGAGAGACTTAAAGGTACGATTGCGTGTGTACGGGGTGGACGGTTTTGCAAAATTGATCGACAACAACATTACCTCGGTTCCGTCGAGCGAGTTTGTTTGTTGGAGGATGTGACTTAGGATGCAACGATTGCATGAGACGAACGTTCTTTGTGCTTTTCTGTGCTTTCTTACATGTTAGAACGTTTCGATTAGAGTAGCGCTAGAATCTCTTGAGACATTGCGGCTGCTTTCTCAGAGTAAAAAGATCCAAGTGGAAGTGCTTATTCGACGAAGAGCTGACGATACAGATAGCGGCGCTAAAGAGAAATGCAAATGATGTTCTCGCCCTCTCGGCATCACTAATCACGATTGGCACTATTTGCAAGACGCGGATCACGTATTACGCGAACGTCGGAGAACTTCTTCCGCGGTGATTCACTCGCATGTACAATAATTGGATCGCTTTCGTGCTAATTCGTGCCGAGGAACGCCACCACCTTAACCGAGGAAAGATTGAAGTATCCTCTATACGAATATTCGGCATGCCTTCTCAATGTACGAACACGCTAATTTCATCGTAGCTCTGAACCTTCAGTTGTTTCTTCTTTCCAGCATACAATTGGCCATAGTTCCGTGGGAATGACCCAACCCACATAATTAAGATTTTTGAGATTTCGTTTTTTTACCATGACGTCTTTCTACATGAAACAAGAAAGATCCAAGCCTTATGGACGTCTAAAATTAATTAAAAAACGGTTGTTATTTTCTATTATGCCATTTTCTACTAGTCGTATCTTCTTTACTTATTTCTTTAAGGGTTAAGCTTGTAAATAAATAACCCTAAAAGAGAAGAAAATTACTTCCTGAACGATTGCAAAGAGAATCTCAGTGCTTTCTATACTTTTTAAATCAAATATTCATCTTCCTTTTTTTCGAGATGTGTGTACTCCATGTGAATTGAATCACTCTTGCATAACTACGGCCAATTGTCGATGGTAAATGTAGTGTAGCAAAAGGACACGATGTTGCGCGCGGTTGTGCAGCGTTATAAGTTTGCAATGAAACTTTCGTAGGACTTCATGAAAGCATTTGTGACCTAAATGCGTCCCGACATTATTAATGCGGAATTTAATAACACATTTGTCGAGACTCGCTCGACAATTTCGATCATTAGACCGCGCTGGAAGCGCGAATTGATGTAATTGCAAATCCGCGGGAACAATGTCGCTCGCGGAACAATGTCGCTGGTGTTCCGCGCGTTTTTCGACGAACTGGCAGAAAGAAAGAAAAACAAAACAACATCGATTTCTCATCGCGGTTATCTTGCTCTTCGCGTTCTCCGCTAATATTAGGGCGTGCATTTCAGACAACCGAAAAAGAAAAAAAGTAAGAAAAGAGAAAAGAAGCAAAAGAGAAGACTCGGACGCAAGCGAAATTTCGTATCCGCGACTTTTACCGGCGTCTCTTAATTTTCTATTATTTTTTTATTTTTGCCTTTGTTGTAGTGGTTGTTTGTGTTTGTTATTTTGCAGAACCATTTATCAGTGCCTGTTAACTCTAGGTTTCTTCACACGTGTAAGGTTAGTAGTCACACCAGTTTCTCGCTCTCACGACGTAATAACGGTACGCTTGTGTTGTTGCTGCCTTTAGCCGCGACGGCCGTTAACGCCGTGGCATTTTTACTGTTTTGCTTGTTATATATATATATATATAGTACCGAGCTTGCATATAAACTCGAAATACAGTCAATAGCGAAAACGTGTATATATGCTAACGCCGTAGCGTATGTATATATATGTATATATATATATATATATATATGTATATATATATGTATATATATATATGTATATATATATATATGTATATATATATATGTATGTATATATATATATGTATGTATATATGTATATATATATGTATATATATATATATATATATATATATATATGTATGTGTCGGAGCAAGAACCGTGTATACGATTCGCCGCGACGTTACTCGGGCTTAAAAACGCAAAGCAGAAAAATCGCCGCTTCGCGTGCGTCGTCAGTACGACATTGCGCGACTCTATTGTGCAATGATAATTTTGATGTAATTTTAGCGATTGCGTCGTAACGTATGATACCAGGCACTGCCTGACAGTGATACGTTATACTTACTGAAAATCTGAAAACTACTTCATTCTACTTACTGAAAATCTGAAAACTTGAAAAAGAAGAGAAAAAAGAAAGGAGGATCCTTCAAAGAGCTTGAAATCAATTTGACTTTGGATCTTCCTCAATGATCTTTTTTTTTTCATTTTTTTTTTTTTTTAGTTTTTCACAACGTCACTCTTCGATCACGAGCGATTCATACGGGACATGTCTTCGCGATCAAGCTTTAAATATTCGCGCCAGATTCAGGACGATTCAGTTGGATCGGTCGGTTCGTCGCGGCGAACCGTTTCTGCGCGAGTACGATGTTGTAATTAACGTAGAGAATCGATTTGCGCGAGCTTGCCTCACGACTAGCATCTGTCGAGTTTAGTTACGCGAAAGCGCGCGATAAAGAGAAGGAGGTCGAAAAGAAAAAAAAAAAAGAAAATAACCAAGAAGACGGATAGGGAGAAAAGCGAATGTAGCGATGGAGTCGATGATCGATCGTTAATAGCGATGGGTATGAAGCAGGGTGTGGCACTGGAAAACAGCACAAGTACTTCGCAACAGGATCTTCAGAGCTATCCTCCGCAGCAACCGGCGCCGACGGCGACGTCTCATAGCCCGACCGGCCACTACATTTATCAGCAACCGCACAGTCCTGTGCCGCCGCAAAGTCCAGTTAGTATATATATATATATATATATATATATATATGTATATATATACATACACACACGTTCTACTAGCATTCGGTTGGAACGAAATGAGATCGAATCTGCGAGATGTCTGTCGTAAAATGCTAAGATACACATCTGATAATTGTGTCGCTGACAGTATCGAAACACCGATAGTATTCGAGTATCTGGCGCACGGGAAAAAAAATCCGGTTGGATTAGGCAAATTTCTTGTAAAATACGAACAAACCATAAACAACAAACCGGTTGTAGTTACTAGGAATTCTGTTCAGTATCAGGATATTCTCTTCTTCAACTTACAGCCAAGAAGGGAATTTCGTGTAATTATATTCTTTATAACACACATAAATCCATAAATCCATTTTTTATTTCTGCTCTCTCCTCCCCTCCTTATCTAGTTATTAATATCCCTTTAGTTACATTGTCTTTCTCTAATTGACTTTACAATATCCTCATCACCTAAATGTTCTTGTAATCTTCTTTCACCATCTTCTTAATCTTTACCTAAACTTTACACTATTTACCTTCCACTTATTCATCATGTTTAATTATATTTTCCTATTCCACTCAATGGATACCACATCGTGTTCTCATATAATAAACCCCAAGCTTTCCCTTCAGCTGTACACATTTATCCTTCTTTATCTTTCCTATCCAATCTCTTTACTGCTCATCTTATTTCCTCTTTATCCTCTCTTTTTTCCCATATTTTTTTCCATATCTTGTTAGTTTCATTATTTCACTCTATACATCCTACTAAACTCCATAAAATGATTCGTTTGCCTGTTTTCCACTTCCTATCTCTTTTAGCTTACATCACTAAGAAGGAATTTTCCATATCTTATAATCTTCCTTTTATTCTTCGCATTTGAATTTTCTTATATAGCATCTATCTCACCAATCTTTGTATCTTTCCTCTACATTACCATATTAATTTAAGCTTGCCCGCATTACTTATACTAGAACCTAAGTACGCTAAACTACTCGTTCCTGATGATACCATAATCTTTATTATCTATGCATTTTTTTTCGTCCTGAATTCTGCTTTCCTGCCTAACGTTTCGCTCTCTTGTTTCGCTCTCACACATTATTTACATCCTCATTCCTACATAATTTCTCTTATGTGATATCCTATACATAATTCAATACATTAAAATCATTCCAAACTCACGCGCCACTTAATAAGCATCTGAATATTTGCACACCATCTAATCCAATCTCCAAGGATTCTGTTCAAAAAAATTTATTTACTTAAAAAGAATTCCTGACAACAACCAGAATTTTTTGATTTGTTCATATTTCACCAGAAATTGGTTAATCCAATGAAACTTTTTTTTTCCGTGCATCTTCGAGCACAATCGGATGCTCAGCGTTTCTTGGCAGCTACACTGGTTAAATTCGCTCTCACATACCGCGTAACGACTACCTGTCTCTTACATTGACAGATAATCTGTCAACTATAATCAAAATAAAACGAGTTCACCAACAATGGTAGAATCTCTGTTAAATGTGTCGTAATCAAATATTATCGCGCGATGTGTCCTGTAAGTCCTGCGATTATTGCTAATGACTCTATTATTCTACATGTCTCTTCCCTTGTTACTTGTTATTCAGAAAACACAGTCACAACAGCATCAACATCAACAGTCGCCGCAGCAGCAGCTGAACTCATTAGGATCGTACAGATCTACGCAGTCGGTAAACAGGCCGTCGCCGCAGTCGTCACCTAGTCTAACAGTTCAAGTGAGACCATCTTCCGTGCCGTAAAACATTAATACGTAACAGTTGACAGAAATAGTTGTCGGGTTAGAGTCAAAAATTTCGGTTCGATTTTCAAGGTAATTAGTTGGTAAATTGGCTACTTTCCACGATAAAGATACACGAGGATGCTGCCAGAATGTCGGCAAAGATCGCAGACAACGATTACTTAGTCAATGAATCGTTTTCATCGAATACAGTGAAATCAAATCTGATTTAAAAATCCGACCGAACTCTTTTGCGCTCTATAAAGTCTAGATTGACCTCTGATCTCGGAGATCGTTATTCAGAGCTTTTAGAAAAAGTTTTTGGAAAGGCCAAGGCGTGAGAGCTTGCGAGATTTCACGATGAATCTCTGGGTCGACTTGATGACGCGGATAACAGAGCGTACTTGGGACAACTTTTGAGCAATTCAACGTGTCTTGGATCATCCGAGTGGGAGATCTTACTGTGAAAGCTCGCGAACTCGTCTCTCTCTCCAACAATGATTGATACGTCGACTATCATTTGTCCGAGCGAGAAGTCTCGTTCTCGCGCTGAAGAGATGATTCCGCAATGCGAATGCACGAATAACGCGGCTGTTTTTTTGTTGTTTCAGGGAAGTCCTCTTAGTTACAGCAATAACCCATCGGCGCCGCCTAGCCCCACGGGACATCCGGGTCCACCCAATTTAACATCCGAAGCGATTGATCAGAACTCTTACTTCATCAATCAGGCGCAAGCGGCGGCCCTTCAGCAGGACTTCGAGCAATTCACAATGGTAAGTGAATTCATACATCTTTAAGCATGCACACCGAGGTAGAAATGACTTTATACGCTCGAGTTCGTGTAAAAGTGTCGCGGGCGAACATCTCCGTGGAATGCGCTCTTGCATTTTTGTGTGGGGATTGAATGAGTTTGTGTGGAACGCCGACGACGAATCGCGCCTTTGAAAATTTCACGGGATCCGAAATAATGCATTAACGCCGAGCTATTCGGGGAGAGATGGCGTCAGTATTCATATCATAAGATCATGAATACGGAAAAAAAAGAAAGCGATCGCTCAAGGTTTTCCAATCGGCGGCGCGTCCGTGACGCGACGACGCAGCAAACGGAAAGAAAAAGCAAAAAAATAAACTCGATTTCTTCTCTCTTGGGTGCGATCGTCGGTGTCAGTGGTGTGCTGCTTTCGCGGATTTTGCGTTCGCGAGATATTTGCCCTTCGATCTATTATACACACTGCTGGCAGCGGTCCAGCGATGCGCTCGACATTCTTACCTTACTTCTGTCGCCGAGCAGTCTTACCTCAGAGAAGGAGGAAAAAGTCTCTCGTTCGTTTCCATAGTCTAGTTCTCTCCTCGGAGCTCGTTCCTCTCGCGCAAATAACAATCGAATAACAATCGTAAAGGGGCAGGACTCACGGAGTGCCGCGTGTCGTCGCTAAAGACGCTTTGCCGATCTCTGTCTCTCTCCGTATCGGTGACGTGGTTACACTTTCGCGGTGCTCGACACGCACGCACGTTTTACACGGCACATACTTCGCCGCATAATTGCATTCGGACCTTTCGCAGCGAGAGCAGGGAGAGAGAGAGAGAGAGAGGGAGAGAGAGAAAAAGAGCGAGAGAGCGAGCGCGTTCCGCAGCCGTTACGCGCTTGTAATAGATACATACGCACGCATACACATTCGTCCGTTTCGTTCCGATGTACCGCCATTCTTAGGTGATTGATACTTTCGCGCGTAACGAATCGTTCTCGTTCCACTCCTCCCTCCGAGACGTATCGCGCGCGGCGCGACGATTGAAGAATCGCGGAGAAGAAGTCAATCACAGTCGACGAATCAATCGATCAAACCGGTCCTCCCGTTCCGAATTCTCTCTCTCGAGCCGGCGGTTGCGATTGTATGATCTATGAACGAACCTTTATCAATTATAATTAATTGAAAGATATCCGATCCTAATTGGCGCTCAATTTTTTTTATGCATGTCCAAGGGACTGGTAAGTATCCGATGCTGAACTGTACTTAATAAACGGCAGCGAGTAAGAAAAATGCCGCAAGACGCAAGGCGGAATATATTGCGCGGGGCGGCGACACTCTCTCACATATCGCCGGTACCGGTGTCACGCAATTCTCGTGCAAACGATACTCGTTTTTCTTCTTTTTTTTTCGCGTTTCCTAGAGTTACCGTGCGAGCCGATCGGTGAATTCCAACACATATAATATGCGTTCCTATTCAGCCGGTCTGACCTTCGCGGTTATAATTAATGTTACGCGATGAATTATTCCGAGCGAATGATTCGTATGAATTATTCTGCCGGACTCGTTTGATATTCTACTCGGTTACATCGTCAGACGTTCCGTTCGTCCGTTCGTTCGTTCGTTCGTTTGTTCGTCAAAGGCGTCAAATTGCCGATTCCCGATATTCCTCGCTTATAATGGCACGCTTCTAAATGCGAAACTGCGATCGTAATTAGCTCGCGTACGCGCGCCGCAAGTGTATCGGGTTTGGTAACGGAAGCGTACAGTCGACGATCAGATCTCGTTGAGAAAAGAGTAGAGAGAGAAGGCTAATGCGTTTGTTGTCAAACACAAAACTGATTGTGTAGCCTCTAGACTTGTGCCTTAAGTCTTGCTGTTTATCTGTTGCCTGCATTCGTCAGGAGTGGCCCAAATTCGCGCAGCAGCTGATGGAACTTGGTTGCACCTGGACCACGCAGATAGAGGTGAAATATCGCCATTAGTTGAAACACTTTTTATTTGCCCAAGTCCGGCATCAAGAGCAACTCCCCGGCGTGTACCTTCTGTTTTGTTCTTTCTATCTTGAGTTTTTTTTTTTTTTTTCTTTTTCCTTTTGCGTAAGGCTCGCGGCGAAGAGCGATCCTTTCCGTGTGAAGTGTCGCAGAACGGACACGCGCGTATGCATGCGATTGTCAGAGGCGGGACGTGAAGACTGTCGTATCATCGCGCGCTTCTCGACGTTCGAGTGCCTCATGTATTTGCTAAACGTCGAATTTATACTGAACGATCAATACGTCCGTTTGGGCAAACCGCGCTGAAAATCGAAAGAAGGAACGTCGCGAATTTAACGTCGCTCTTCTCGCGATTCCGTGACAGAGGGGGAGAGTCGTTGCATATGTACGCGCGTCGAGAAATGTATTCCCGTGCGTGAAACCCCGCTCGCGCCTTGCAATGAAGGAAAAGTATATCAGATCGGACCGGTGAAATATTCGTAGATTAAGGTAAAGTATTACCTTACCTCATCGCATACCGCGTGTACCGCGCTGATGTTTAATGTATAAACCGCATCAGAGGAAAATTTTTTATGTCTCGGCTCCGGCCATGTCGTTAGAACCGCGAGCGGGAAGAGTGCGTAGTCCCGGTTTTTGTTGCGGAGAAACGTTTACAGAGAAAGGAGAAAGAGAGAGAGAGAGAGAGAGAGAGAGAGAGAGAGAGAGAGAGAGAGAGAGAGAGAAAGAGAGAGAGAGAGAGAGAAACGCGCATGGTGTGTGTTGCTAGTAATAATAATTGCAATTCGCGCGCGACATACTTCTGATTGATAGTTCGCGAGCGCGGAAACACGGTCGTCGTTACGTATGCACGTACAAAAGTTGCCATCGTGCGTGCTGTGCTTCAGAAGGAACCTAGCTTTATCGCAGGGCTTGAACGATATACCCTCTTTTCACTCCCTCCTGCAGTTACACGCACAAGTGGCCGTTACCGTGGCGTTTGATATTGCGCGGACGGCTACGCGTCAAGCCATCGGCTTCAACAGGCGAATAGAAAAGACGATATTTTACGGGATAAAAAGCGTCGTTGAGGCGAACCGTCTCGTCTGCGTGAACTTACGACGTTCGGAATCGTTGCTTAATATTGTGAGCTCAGGAATCGAAGCGACGCGTGAGTCCCAGAAGCGTACTTTTACTTTTTTCTTTTTTTTTTTTCCGAAAAAGTTCGCGCGAATACTCGCACTTTCGATCTGGAAACTCGATTAGGAAGGACGAAATTCAGTGAAACGGAAAGCTTGCACGTGCGAAATAACGAATACACCAAATAAAGCGAGATATAAGCTTCCTCACGATGTGGAGATCAAGCGAGAAAGGGATTTCCTGCAACAAAGGCTATTAGAAGGAATACAGAGAGTATCCCCGGAAATCGAAGCGCAACTAAAGCCGTAATAGAATTCGAATCGAAGAAGATGATTGGGTGGGCGATCTTCGCGTACGGCACGAGTGAACCGAGTGTGTTTACGGTTCGATCGTATTTACTTCTCCCTTTATACTCCTCTTCCGCTGTTTTCCCTCCCGCGCGCGTACCCCTCACGGATCGTTCTATAAAAAGCATTTGGGGTGGGAGACGCGTTGTACGTGAGATGAATCAACGTCGCGCACTTAAAGATCAATCAGATTAGACCGCGAAGACAGCCTTAATCTCTCTCACGAAGCTTTAATTAGTACGGCCCTCTCTCATCTGTCTCTCTCTTTTTTTTCTACTTCAGATGGACACACCGGTGCAGCCAAACACGATCGGAACGTATATCGGATCACCGAATCACACTGCGAATTTCACGCAGGTAAGAATGAAAAAAGGAATTATTCTCTCTCCCGGGAGGATGATACATTACGCTAGAATGGAAATTATAACGTCGTCTGAACGGCGTGAGCGCGCACACGTAGCGGAATATAGAGTTGGAAATTTTCATTATTACACCGGTGATCATAAGACCATATCTTGATTCTTTGTTCATCGAATCCCGTTGCCTTTGCCTGTCCCTCAGAACGACGTGATTAACGTTGGCGGCGAATTAGGCAGCGGGGATACCGGCTACTTCAGCACGAGTCCACAAATGGCGTATCAGCCGGCGACGACGACCACCACGGCCACTCAGCAGCTCACACCGCAAACGCCAAACACACCCACGATCATTCTCACAGGTACACGATCGCTCCGTGCAGATGTAGATTGCACAGACGATGATTTCTCTAATTGCGCTTTCGTAACAAGAGACACCAGCAGCGCAGAATATCTCACTCCGCTCGTCTTGGAATAGAACATTTTCAATTTCTATTTCTGTTCCGCGCCACTTTGTACTCGATGTTTACGAGATACGCGTAATTTGCGCTGTCGTGGGAACCAGGGCGTCGAGAAACGCGCAGTTTGTTCCCGTCACGATGGCGTCGCGCCGCTAATCCCGTGCGCTCTCTGTTCGCAGACTTCTCCGGTGCGGACGATCTGACGAATCCGGAATTCGTCAAAGACCTCGGCACTGCGATGATGGGCGACTTCGATCCGGAAATGTTTCCGTCTGACGACGCTCTCAGACAGGGCCTCGATCCGATCGACGTGGACGGTTTACAAATGCTCGCGGACCCTACGATGGTCATATCGGATTCCAGCGCCGAGGCCCACTTTAGGTTAGATCGTCTCTAAGGGAAGAGATTTTACTCATTTTACCGACCGACAGACCCGCTGGCTAACGCGTAGGATAAGACAATTCTGTTCTGGTGTCGCCGTGAATTAACTCTTAAGACACTTTGACACATGGGGTACCACTTCTTGGACACTGGCGGATTTGCAGGGCAAAAATGCGAGTCAATATGTATACTTATACATTGCGGTGTATATTTATACATATTTAGAGAGAGAGATATATATATATATATATAATATATATAAATATACCTTGTTTATATAACTTGATTTGCAGCGCATGGATCATAGCGGGTTTATGAAACACTCTCGTATTAATTGTCTCGCGCTCGTGTAATTTACCGTTTTTTCTTCTTTTTTTTTTAATCTCAACTCGTACATCGCCTCGATTAATCGTACATACAAAAGTCAGATGTAAATAGTATACTATGTGCAGCAGAGGTAACACCTGTAGATAGTATACTTGCGTACGAAATCTCCTTCTGGAAACAAGTCAGTGATCAACGATAGTTGTTTCCCGCTCGTGATAAAACCGTTAATTGACGATTAAGTAAAATACGAATCTTTATTAACCCTTTTTTATTTTACACTACTTTGTACATTGTATCATGTATGATCTCTAAGAAGCACAAAACGAAATGTTTACTGATTTATACATGCTTTTATCATATGCAATTATAGTAAGAGGTAATATCTACCGTTTAGGCCAATTTAACGTTAGAGAAGACGATCGATTCGCGCTCCTCAACGAGGAGCGTTTAAAACGCATAAAGACATAGAAGTGAGAGAGGAGGGAGATGCCTATCGGCGGTACACGCCAGCAGCAATCTAGATCGTTATGTTTGCTTTTCCTCATTACACCCTTGCGAGAGCAGCTTACCGATCGTAAACGTTTGTGTTAGCGGAATATATCCTAGGTAGAAAATTCGAGTTACTGTTTCGTCCTGCTCGCGATATCGCGCACTGGCCGATATATCGAGTTAATTCAAGTAATATCAGATCGTGCCGAATCTGGACTGGACTTTTTTGTCTTTATTGGCAGTTGTATAACCGGATCTGAGGTATAACCGTGAAATCAATCGAGATTCAATGGCGATCTCGACGCGAAAAGACCGCGCAAGGGTTTATCGGGAAGAATCATCTCTCTACATTTCGAACGTGCAATCCCTGGTACTGATCACCACCTATATACGTTCAGATTAGGGATAGTTTTGTTTCTCCACACGCGCAACACCAACCCAACTTCTACATTTATTTGTTCTCCAGGGAAAGAGCAACGGTGAATTCGATTATTAACACTTGTTCTGATTTCGTATCGCGCTGAACAGACGCGGTGGTAATAACGAGCAGGAAGATAATGTCATATGCGTGTACCCTCGGCGGTTGTCAATTGTTTTTTGAAAGTAATATATATTATACTTTATATATGCATTCGGTAGTTGATATCGAATGTGAAATTAAGGTAAATGATAAACTATGAAATCAAGAAAACGACGCTTATATCTAATACACACATCGTAAATAGCGTACCATACATCTCTCGGTAACATTCGAATTCTTCGTTTTAGTTGGATACACGAGATAATAGGCGACTAATGTTACGGAATCAGGCTACAATATGTCGAAAAACGCGACGAATTCCACGGGAGTAGCAAGTTTCTGTAAAGCACACTCTACCGTTGTTTTCTAGTATAAAGATTGCGACACAGATTGCGACACAAATCTCTATCCGGAATTCAAATCATGAGTATGAGGGGATTAAATTGCGAGAAAGAGCCAACGAGTAGCCCCCAGCTCGCCAAGTGCGATTAGTTTTGAGAGCACATTATCCGCGAAAACGTTTATACCTGAAACGTGTAGCCTGAATCCAACGATGCATACTTCAGCACACACACACACACACACATCATATACACATACGTACATATACACATCTTCTTTCACATTACATTAAATAGATTGAAATCAGGACAGACGTAAAGTGAAATAGTATAAATTCGTTATCGCTCTGAGAGATATCATTCATATCTTATAAATAGATCATCCTGTGTCTGCAAGAGAGAGTACCTAAGTATACCGGAGTATAAATGTCGAGGAAGTTCCGGTAGACGCCAAGTGTAGCGGATAATATCCTGTTCCTTGCGTTATATCGTCGTTTCAACACGCGCTTATCGGTTGGCCGTCAAGTACACCTCGCGGCTACGGGAGCTTCTTCGCGCTCGACCGTGAACTCGGCGGAGAGAGTACACCTCGAACGGAAGAAATTTAACAATAATCTTTATCATATTTAAAATATGATTAATGTTGACCAAGTTGATGAACTATTCGATATATTCGAAAGAGTTAACGTAGTAGAGTGAAAATTTCTCTTCCCGTTTGCTCTCTTTTACTCGCAGAGTCTCGTCCGCGTTATATGCGCAAAATGCAAGAGGTGCCAAAAGCGCGTAGAAGATATATTCGTCGTAGATTGTAAGATCGTGCTATCGAATCATTAATCGTGCAATATAAACATATGTAATGTGATCGTCGGTCGTTTAACATAGGGTTAAACCAAGTTAAATGTTAACCAAGATCGTGACGTCAATTTGTCATTGTCACTTTTTAATCGTGAACGAGGGGCTCGCTAAGAGGGGGATAAAGAAAACACGGAATTTCTCAACCGGGATCTCTCGCAAGAAGGGAGGACAGATCTTTTTCTCTCTTTTCCTTTTTTTTTTTTTTCTCCCCATTATTGTTGTATCTCTCCGACACGCCGCGGAACGTACATCGCTGTCTTTCGATTGATATTCAGGTTACTGAGACTCGAGCGATTCGAAGGTAATGTGCGCAACACGTACGTGAAGGAACTGTCGAAGCGGAATAACACGCGATACCCGCGCGTTGCGTTAATCTCTGCGCTATATTAAGCGAATTCAGCGCCGATTCATGAGGTCTTTCAATATGCACATGTTTCTCACACGCTGTTTTTCCTTTCCCGTTTTATCGATACTGTCACGAAAAATGAGAAGCAGCGTAAACATTTTAAAACCGTTCTCTCTCTCTCTCTCTCTTCCCCTCCCTCCCCCTTCTCTCCCTCTCCCCTCTCTCTTTCTGATCATAAATATCGCACGTTCGCTAAATCTGCATTAATAAGTATTGGATAATTTTAACGATCGCTAAACGAGGTAGATGATATACGATCTCGCAACCGATTTTAACTTGTATTAATTCTCGATGAATAGGAAAGTGACTGTAATAATATCGATACATCGGCCTCAAACATTGCAGCTGTTGCTTCTTTTCTACATTGCGACCTCTTTTTCTCTGATCGCTGCGCGAGCACGTTGTATTCTCAGGCGTTGCCTCTCGCTCTTCTCTCCCTAAATTACTCCTCAAATTACAAATTGACTTCTCGTTGGCGTGAACATTCGACAGATACGGTAGATATCTTGTGAGATCAAATTTCACCCGCGAAAGAATTCTTCGTTTACAGTTGCCTGCGATTGAACGGCGAACGAAATCGAATTTGCATATTGCCTGTTGTCAAATGGCATTCTCAGTCGCGACCATTGAGCGAACATTGTTCCATCGTGCGACGGTTGGAACATACAGCGCGAAACGTCAATCTTTATCGCAAGAGGCAATTTAATCGCGAAATCTACCTGATATTGTTACACGCGATTTCTCAGTGGCAATTCTTCAGCGATCCCCGTGAACTCGCGAAGAAAGTCAAAGGCGGTACGTAGATACGGCCCCGTAATTGACCACGTGTTTCATTCTGTCGCGTTAATCTTTTGTTTTTAATCTTACTATTCGGAGACGGATCTCTCTAAGAGCGGGAAGCGAGACGAGGTCCTCGCCGAATTGTTTTTCCTAATCCTGAAGGGATCGTCAACGGACAATGATGCGATATATATCAGATTCCACACGACTAAAGTATCCTCAGGAAGACTTTACCGCTTCAGATATGATTGCGTTAATTCTCGTATCTGCACATATCTCCCTCTGTGCTAAATCGAAGTCATGTTGAAGTCTCAGTCGAGACGGATTCTAATGTGCTAACTTTCCTCTTCTATCCTTTTAAAGCTTACATCTAATTCACCATTTCTCCCGTTTCCTCTTTCCCCTTCTTATTATGCATTCAAAAATACACACACACACACACACACACACACACACACATATATATATATATATATATATATATATATATATATATATATATATATATAT